ACGGCCGTTTCGTCCCAGTGTGGAACTCCTCAGCAGTGCATATCCACGACTCCACCCCACGGGGTTTCAAAATACATCAGTATAAAATACAAATAAAACCATTAAAAAGTAAAAGTAACAGATGCTGGTTTTGTCTTAGGATAAAGTTTCTCTTCCGTGTATATTCATGATATTCAATCAATAATCGAACCCAAAATCTTCAATCTCACAATGAACCCGACAGTCTTTAAATCACTGAGTTCGAATCCAATAGTGTACAAGTCTAAATTTAATTTTTTTTTCCACAAAAGATATTGAAATGATGGGAAGACGAATTTTAGGATTAATAAGAAAATAAATAGAAAAGTTTCGTAAATGAAGTAATGATGATAGTTAGCTATTTATGCTGATTTCATTATCTATGAAATTACATAAGATTATGCATGATATAATGTGTATATAACGCTTGAATAGCCATTTTAATTGAATATTGGTGTGTATGTGTGTGTATGTGTGTGTACATATACACCTACTGACTGTCAGTCAAGTGTATAAAGAAAGTTGTATCGAAAAAAGACAGAAATGTAAAACAAGCAATGAGTAGTCGAGGAAAATACACCTCCTTGAAAAAAAAAAGAAACAAGTTAAAATGATAAGAAGCTAAAAGAAAACTATGGTTAACCTTATGTTACCTTAAAACTTATGACACCTAATTAATGGTTCATTGTATTCAATAGAAGAATGAGTAGAGAGAGTACTGTGTAAATGAGAATCTTGTAATAAAGAACATATGAGTTAACGATCTGGTAAACATATCAAATGAGTTTATATTCTAACATTGGAACAAATCAGTTAGAAATAGTAATCAAGACAATTTGTTTATTAAAACTAGAAGTTGATGGCATATACTGTCAAACATGTTTTAGGATAAACTATATTGTACTAGACCTAAATATAATCAAAATTAAAGCTTGATGGCTGTTCATATCAACAGAATATTCTCAGATAGAAGTATCAATATTTCATAAGCTAATTTCTTTAAACAATGTTTTCATGTTTCATGCTAATATATATTTTTTTAAAAGTTAATTTAGATTAGCATCTATTCACTTTATTTTTCACATCTATTTAATTAGATACTTGAGCTTTTCCATTAATTCTAACTCATATTCTTGTGAAATATGTAGTCACTGAAGTGAAGTGAAGTATTCGAACGTGTCGACGACTTCACTTATCTTGGAAGTCTGATCAGCTCTAATGGGTTGGTGTCTGACGAAATCTCAGAACGGATTCGAGAAGCTCGTTTGGCTTTTGCCAACTTACGTCACCTATGACGAAGGCTAGATATCCGTCTACCAATTAAGAGACGAGTATACTACGCGGTAGTTCATTCTGTTCTAGTTCACGGCTGCGAAACGTGGCCGTTAAGAGTAGAAGATACTCGTAAGCTACTAATATTTTACCACAGATGCCTTAGTAATATTGCTGGAGTTTGCTGGGATCACCGGGTAAGTAATAGTGAAGTAAGACGCATGGTATTAGGAAATGATGGTAAATCAGTTGATGAGGTTGTGAATCTTCATCGACTGAGATGGTTGGGCCACGTGTTATGTATGCCTGAACACCGATTACCACGACGCACAATGCTGACTAATGTTGGGTCGGTTGGAAAAAAATTAGGGATGGCCAAACCAAAACGTGGCATCAGTGCTCGAAGTCACTAACTTCTGGTCTTAACCATGTTGGTAGATGTGGACTACTTGGTTGGGATCCGCGTGATTATCGTAACTAATAGTTGGAGGCTGTGTGACATGGCTCAGAATCGACCACGATGGTGTAGGTGTATACACTATCTGTCTTTCCTTAAACTATGAGATTAAAGTCGCTTCATATCTCTCTTTCTACGTACTAAATCTTTCTTCCTGTACTATATCCTTATTGCAATCTCTCCTTTATATATTACCACCTCTGAATTAACTACTTCTATGAATCCGATGCTCATCTTGCTGTGCTAATGAGGTGTGGCAACTTGGACCAATGCATATATGTACCTGGTCCTACATTGCAGCTGAATGGCTGAGTCACTGATCTAGTATGTCTACAGAATATTCTTCCAGTTATCTGTTATTTTTGCAGGAGCTATACAAAGTTGGTAAGACGATTTGTCATAGAAAGAATATATCATTTGAGACATATAATGGATAATCATCGACTATCAACTTTACAACAAAAACGACAATAGTAATGGTCCATCTTCTATAATGTGACCCCCCCCCAAATGATTGTACAAGCTTGTATGTACAATTATACATCTTCGGTATAGAGGTTGTGGAGATTATTAATTTTTTGATTGAGGTTATGAACCGATTAATGTTAGAACACCGTTGGAAACCTGAGAGCACTGGACGGCCATTTCGTCCTATTTTGGGATTCCTCAGCAGTGCGCATCCACAATCCCGCTCACGGGATTCGAATTCAGGGCCTTCAGTCTAGCATGCAAACGCTTAACCTACTGGACCACTGAGCCAGCATCCAATGGTGTTATTGGATGCGCACTGCTGAGGAGTCCCAAATTAGGACGACATGGCCGTCCAGTGATTCCAGGTTTCCAACGGTGGTCTAACATCAATCGATTCATGATCTCAATCAAAAAATTATACATGTTGTAAAAGGCTTATTCACCTTAAAGAATAGAATGTATCTATATACAAAACTAATGAGTTTTAAAAACTACTTACCACTATTAACCATTCAATATTATTTTGTGACTAATTTCAATTAGTTTCTATCTACAGTTTTAATGACATAATATGTAATCTGTCTGATAATTATGCAATCTGTTGTTTTACAATTCTGTATATACATTAATGGGATTAATAAACGGTAAATCTAATTATTACTATAGTTATTATTTGTAACCGTACTACTACTACTACTACTACTACTAATAATAATAATAATAATAATAATAATAATAATAATAATAGTAATAGCATTGGTATTAGTATTTCTAGTAATACAAAGTAATCTAATCTAATGAATTACGTTTCAGCGGTGAATTCGTCCTATTACCAACTACAAATCCAATTCTTTGTTTATCTGATCGGCTGAGATTAAATGGAATAAATAGTTTAGATAAATGATTTTTTAAATCAAAAGACAACAACAACAAACAGAATTACTTAGTTACAACAATCGAAGTATATTATTGTTATTAGTTATAAACAATTATATTCTCCCATAGTTGATATTCAGTATAAAACTGAATTCATTCTTTTGACAAACAAAGAATTCTTTAATAATTGAATTGATAAGTAAATTGAAGTTAAACTACCATGGAAAATCTGGAAGTACTGAACAGCTGTTACATCCTAGTATGGGACTCTTCAACAGTACGCATCCATGATCCCGCCTCAAGAGATTCGAACCCAGAGCCTACCAGTCTATCAGAATTCTTCACTGATTTCTGAAATTTTAGAGTAAATTATAGTTAGTAAATATATTTCAGGATGTAAGTTTTATTCGGAATAGGATTTAATCAACTAGGTGTATGCATATCCACTTGTTTACATGTTCTTGCTATTATTTATTAACCAAGAAGATGATATCTGAATGTGCTTAAAGACAATAATACCATTGGATGCTGGCCAGTTCAGTGGTCTAATGGTTAAGCGCTCGCACCCGAGACTGTTAGGTCTCGGGTTCAAATATAGAGGATATTCGTAGGTCACTAGTGTTCGATCATAGATGTCTTCGAAACATTGCTCGTATATCCGGGGACTATCGAGTAAGTAATGTAGTTGTTAGGAAACAGGTATTAGGTAAGGATGGCAAATCAATTGATGACGTAGTGAAAGTTCATCAGTTGAGATGGCTGGGACACGTGTTACGTATGCACAACCACCAACCGCCTCGACGAGCGATGTTTTATGGTGTAGGAGTAGGTTGGAAGAAAGCTAGGGGTGGCCAGACCAAAATGTGGCACAAATCCACAAAGTCACTGACAAGTGGACTGAGCCATATTGGTAGATGTAGACTACCTGGTTGGGATCTGCGAGATGATAGCAACCGATGGTTAGAGACCCTGAATGACATGGCTCAAAATCGTTTGCAATGGCGCAGGTGCATACACTCTTTGTTTTCTCCCAGCTTCTAATCTTCTGAATTCTTCATGTCTCTTTTTTCTCTTTCCAAATTTATTTCACTGTATTATACTTCTTGATTAACATCTTCAAACCCTAATGTTTCCGATCACTGCTAATGCTTTTAGTACATCTACCATTATGGGATTTGAGTCATGGATTGATAACCACTGAAAGCTAAAAAATACTGAACATTTACATTTTATTTTAGGGCTTACCATTATTGTGTACATACCACTACTCCACTACTGATCTATTCTAAGATTTTCAAAGTTCAGCAAATAAGTGTACTACCGTTAAATTATACGGCTGAAATCCACTAGTCTATATTTCTCACATACTGCATCCATGAACTAATGTCATCGGTTACTTTTAGATCACTTTCCACATGATTAGAAACTAATTACGACTTCTCAATAGAATTTTAATAATTTTCTTCATACCTAACCACTTCTCGGCAAAATCTGACATACATCCTCATGCTATTCTCGAAAAATAGTGGAACTGTATCCTATATATTAACATTAATAGTCAATGGAGATCAGCCTAGTTTACTACTCTACCGTAATTCTACATTAATCGTGATGGGAATACCTATAAATGCACTGACCGATTTGATTGATGTATTTCATGTGTGAATACAATGTGCACTTGTTAAAATAAAATAAAAACTAGAATTGCATTTTACCCATTTAACGGTAGCAAATCCTAACAGCTCATCCTTTAGGTTTCCATTAACATACGATTCCCCAATGAAAATATTTATCCCTTGACAAGTATGTGTACTGTTCGAGTAAATACGATATTATCCAGACATGAAAATTGGTTTCTTCAGAAGGACTCATGAACCTTGACAATTCAAACAGGGCTACCTAGACACTAGCAAATAAATGATGATGATGATGATGATGATGATGATGATGATGATGATGATGATGATGATGATGATGATGATGATGATGATGATGATGATGATGATGATGATGATGATGATGATGATGATGATGATGATGATGATGATGATGATGATGATGATGATGATGATGATGATGATGATGATGATGATGATGATGATGATGATGATGATGATGATGATGATGATGATGATGATGATGATGATGATGATGATGATGATGATGATGATGATGATGATGATGATGATGATGATGATGATGATGATGATGATGATGATGATGATGATGATGATGATGATGATGATGATGATGATGATGATGATGATGATGATGATGATGATGATGATGATGATGATGATGATGATGATGATGATGATGATGATGATGATGATGATGATGATGATGATGATGATGATGATGATGATGATGATGATGATGATGATGATGATGATGATGATGATGATGATGATGATGATGATGATGATGATGATGATGATGATGATGATGATGATGATGATGATGATGATGATGATGATGATGATGATGATGATGATGATGATGATGATGATGATGATGATGATGATGATGATGATGATGATGATGATGATGATGATGATGATGATGATGATGATGATGATGATGATGATGATGATGATGATGATGATGATGATGATGATGATGATGATGATGATGATGATGATGATGATGATGATGATGATGATGATGATGATGATGATGATGATGATGATGATGATGATGATGATGATGATGATGATGATGATGATGATGATGATGATGATGATGATGATGATGATGATGATGATGATGATGATGATGATGATGATGATGATGATGATGATGATGATGATGATGATGATGATGATGATGATGATGATGATGATGATGATGATGATGATGATGATGATGATGATGATGATGATGATGATGATGATGATGATGATGATGATGATGATGATGATGATGATGATGATGATGATGATGATGATGATGATGATGATGATGATGATGATGATGATGATGATGATGATGATGATGATGATGATGATGATGATGATGATGATGATGATGATGATGATGATGATGATGATGATGATGATGATGATGATGATGATGATGATGATGATGATGATGATGATGATGATGATGATGATGATGATGATGATGATGATGATGATGATGATGATGATGATGATGATGATGATGATGATGATGATGATGATGATGATGATGATGATGATGATGATGATGATGATGATGATGATGATGATGATGATGATGATGATGATGATGATGATGATGATGATGATGATGATGATGATGATGATGATGATGATGATGATGATGATGATGATGATGATGATGATGATGATGATGATGATGATGATGATGATGATGATGATGATGATGATGATGATGATGATGATGATGATGATGATGATGATGATGATGATGATGATGATGATGATGATGATGATGATGATGATGATGATGATGATGATGATGATGATGATGATGATGATGATGATGATGATGATGATGATGATGATGATGATGATGATGATGATGATGATGATGATGATGATGATGATGATGATGATGATGATGATGATGATGATGATGATGATGATGATGATGATGATGATGATGATGATGATGATGATGATGATGATGATGATGATGATGATGATGATGATGATGATGATGATGATGATGATGATGGTTTGTGAAGACTATTTCTAAGATTACATAAACCTTAATTTCTTTAAAATTATTTTTACGACATTAGGATCATTCTTTTGATTAATGTTGGTATTAAAGAAAATATGTAAATGTTTAATGTTTACTGTTTACCTACTTACTTACCTAATTACTTACATGCATACATTGAAACACTTCAAAATCAGCATGATCAATTACATTACTATAAATGATGTTAGAGATTATCGCCTGCTGAACCATTATGAACACTATAACTAATATTAATAACACTTACATATTTTAATCTCTGTTTAATTTCTTCTACTATTGTTAAAAATCACTTATGTTATGTTTAAATTGTGACATGACTAAGTAAAATGACTAGGTAATAGAAATGGTAAGCAATGAAATGAATGGAATAGGATGTTCTTTACTTTTCAAATATTCTATTAATCTCTAAGGCTTGGCATCTTTTTTCTTTAGTTTCCTGTTCAATATTACTAAACACACAGAAACATCATAAATATGTGTGTACATGTAAGAGGTAGGATAGTTAGTTAGATGGGTAAGCATATATGCATGTATATATATATATATATATCATACAAAGTAATTTAAGTGCTATCGTTTGGAACATAATCACAGCAAAAAGAAGGAAAAATATGTATAGTATTCAAGTTCTCATTGTGTTATAAATGATTACTTCATTATAACAATGATAATACTGATGTTGAAACACAAACCCATACACACACACACACGGAGAGAGAGAGCGAAGCACACACGCATATATACACAGATACATCCATAAAGTCTGAATAGATTACAAGCCTTAATGTATAGTATGCAATAGATAGATTAATTGAAAACATGGGAATAATGAACAAAACTTGTATTGTATGTTCTTTTTGTGTTTTTCTTCAAGAAAACTAAACCTCTTCACTCTTTTTTTTCTCTACAACAACTACGACTCCTATTGTTACTGACATTACTGTTTATTCAATAAATGGTAAGTTGTGCAAATGACAAGGCTTATTTAATAATGATTAGATTAGGTCAAAATTAGACAGGTAGTTTCTAATGCTCTTTGTATTGAATATAAAGAAAAGTAGGAAACATAGAGAGAGAGAGAGAGAGGAAGAGAGCGAGAGAGACAGAGATTAACAATAATGAAATGATTATTTATTATTAAAATTTTCTTTTCGACAAGAATGGGATTAAAACGGATTTGAAGAGAGGAACATTCATGGAATAGAATTCTTTGATGACAATATTAATGATAGTTAAGAATTGTGATTAGCTGAATTTTCATTCAAATCTATGCTACTTTAATGTAAACCAGATATATTTGGAATTTTCAGAGAATTTCTCTGTTTTCCAAATAAATTTAAGAAGCTAATTTTCTTCCCGACTGTTATGATTTGAAAATTCATTTATATTAAACACATTAATTTTAATTTTCAATAGTTGAAATCATGAATCCACTGAAGCTAGATCACCATGGAAAACCTGGAAGAACTGGATAGCCGTTTCGCCATAGTGTGGAACTTCTTGGCAGTGAGCATCCACGATCCCGCACCCCGTGAGATTCGAATCCAGGATCTATCAGTCTCGCGCGCGAGTGCTTATCCACTAGACCACTGAGCCAACCGGCATCCAACGGTGTTAATTTCTAACTTCAACTAATCCACGAAATTGAGCGACACATCCATCACTGTCATCAGTGAGTTACTATCTCACAACAGACCCAGTTGAACCCCATTGGTGAGATAGGTCCACGGGATCGTGGATACGCACTACTGAGGAGTCCCATACTAGGATGAAACGATCGTCCAGTGCTTCCAGGTTTTCCATGGTAGTCTACATTCAATTGACTCATGATCTCAATTATTGAAATTACTATAATATCCACAAATAACCCCTTCTGACATTAATTTTAATTAACAGTTGAAAGATGCCATTTTATAAGTAGATAGAAACTGTTCTAGTTTCATGCTAGCAAATAAACAACATATTGGCATTCATTTAGTGTTGTTTTACTTGTATCATCCTATTGTTATTTAGGACTGCAATTGATCAGTCTCTTGTCAGTATATGTGCATCCTGTGCGGATTGCCTCGATGTTTTCTTAGGTCATAAGCTTTGTAAGCAAAGGTGGAATCCAGGACGCGCGTTTCGTCCTATTCGGGACTCGCCGGCCACTATCCATATATATATATATATATATATATATATATATATATATATATATATCCTGGTGATGTATAAAATATTGATCAAAAGATATGAGAAACTTATTAGTTCAAATGGTTGTGGACGGAATGGAAGAAGCTTTCGTTTAACGGGTTTTAGGCAGATACCTAGGTATATTATCGATAAAAGAGGAAAAAGAAGAGAAATTAGTAAATTATAGTAAGATATTATCCTTAGTCTATAAGAATATGTCAATTTTTCTCTTAGAGGACTCCTGGTAAGTCACTTGGACTAGCTCAGCCGACAGAAAATTCCAGCATTTGACTACTCTTAAGAAGTAGAAGGTGTGTCTACAGTCCGTTCTGCTGTGTTGTATCTCCAGTTTTTGGGTTTTATCCCTAAGGTTTGTGTTAGAACTAAGTTCAAGTAGGTGTTTATAGGAATGTCCAGAAGTATATATGATGCTGTAAGCCATTGGAAATTCACCTCTAAGACGTCTGTATTCTAATGGGTAAAGGTTCAGTGATTGGAGGCGCCCTTCGTAAGACTTGAATTTGAGTCCCTGAACTGATTTCATGGCTCTCCAATGGATACGTCCCAAAGTGTCCTTATCCTTTCGGAGTGAGGCAGGAAATACTATGATTTTGTACTCCAAATGGGGACAAATAAAAATGTTGAGAATTATGTGGACAGTTTTTCCATCAAACTGGCCAAAATGCGCTTCAATTTTACCAGTGCAAGGTTTGCTCGAAAGGCATTTTTGTCACAGTTAGCGTAAGACTTAAAATCAGTTACCAAAATAGTTACCAACATTCATAGATCTTTTTCAACTTGAAGTACCTCTAGAAGGGAGTTGCCTAGGTTATAGTTATAGTCTGCAACATGTCTCAGACGGACTACTTTACACTTTGAAGTGTTAAAGTCCGTTGTTGTCTGCCCAATTCTGAAGTCCAGTCAGATACTCCTGAAGTACCAGTTAGTTAGTCATCTACTTCTAAACTGAACGGAAAAATAATCGAAACACGACGATACACAACCTTTCTTAATTTTAGTATATACACGTAAAGAATAAAATCCCGTTTAGAAGTCTTTATCTACATGACTTTATTGATACTCATTACCAAACTAAACCTGATCGGACAAAATGAGTGTACAATATTCGATTAGTTAGGATTTCTTATTGAAAATTTATGTTTAATGACATCATCATGGCATAACCCTGTGTGGGAGAGAACAAACCAGATTCCACTGGAGGAAGAAATCAGAAAGAAGGGCTGGAAGTAGATAGGGCACACGTTGAGGAAAGCATTTAACTGCGTAGCAAGGCAAGCCCTCACATGGAATCCTCAAGGCCAAAGGAGGAGAAGAAAACCAAAGAACACATTACGCCGATGAATGAGGACAGACATAAGAAGAATGATAGAAAGGAAGGTCCAGGACAGAGTGGGTTGGAGAATGCTGATCGGCGGCGTATGTTCCATTGAGAGTAATAGGCGTAAGTAATCGTTGCATAATTGAGAGACAGAAGTATGCAGAACTAATTATGATGCGTTTAATAAAACACAAAGAATTTTTTGTAAAGTTATTAATTTACTAATTTCAGATTAATCCGTTTTTTTCCTAAACATCTTATATTTGAATGTTAAAATGTGCACTAAGCATTTCAAAATTCTTGGGATCTATATGATTTAATAGTTGTTTTCATGAGTTAGTTAAAGTTAGATCACCATAGGAAACCTGGAAGCACTGAACGACCACTGGAGTTCAACTGGGTCTGTTATGAGATAGTAACTTACTGATGAAAACGGTGGACGATGTTGCAATTTTGTGGATTAGTTGAAGTTAGACAATAACACCGTTGGATGCCGGTTGGCTCAGAGGTCTAGAAGTTAAGTGTTCGCGCGCTAGACCGATATGTCCTGTATTCGAATCTCGCGGGGGGCGGGACCGTGGATGCTCACAGCTGAGAAGTTCCATACTATGACGAAACGGCCATCCAGTGCTTTCAGGTTTTCCATGGTGGTTTAGCATCACTTGACTCATGAATTCAACTATTAAAGTAGTAAAATCTCCACAAAACCCCCTTCTGGTATATGTATATATATATATATATATATTTTTTTTTTACTGTTCACTAACGATGTTGTGTCTAGCATTTTCCGTCATTTTACTCTTTATCTGGTGAGTGAGCAGTATATATGACAATACTATTTCCATAAAGTTTCAATTTTAGTGGACGAAATTTAAGGTCAATATGAACCAATCAGCGTTGAGGTGCACAGAACAAGTTGTGAAACGCATATGGAGAAATCCGAACACTTTACTTTTATCTAAAGTTTGTGCTGGCGATGTCATTCAGAAGAACGATGAAAACTCCACGACGAAATCATCCAGCTCAGAGAACAAAACTCCATCAAAATCCTTAATCCTCTGTTATAAAGTTATCCATTACGGAGTAGTTCAAGATTCCAGATAAAAAATTATAAATGTAATGAAATTTAATGCTTCAATTGCTATTTAAGGATGTAAATAATGTTTTAATATTCACCAAGGACCCACTAAATGAACAACAAAATAATCGAAAATAAAGGACACATTACATTTTCTAAGTTTTAAGCATCGCTTCAGTCATTTTCTATAAAACCAAAAAAAATATTGTTCTAATAATGGCCAAAGTTCACTGAAATCACAAATCGATCAAAGTTAGATAACTTGAAAGCATTGAATAGCCGTTTCATTCTATTATGAAACTCCTCAACAGTATTATACATTGATGAACACACAAGCAACAATTGAACCCAAGATTATTGAATCAATGTACGAACGCTTAATCTCTAGACCATTGATTTATAATTTTAATAAAATAGATTATTCTTAGCATTTACTTATCGCTAATGTTTCGTTACTATCAACACAAATGTAAACGATATATTATCATTGGAAAGTAGTAGTCAATGCATGTAACAAGAATATATTTATGCTATGAAGAAAGTA